GTTATCCGAGATTATCGTATTTCTTTAATCTTGATTTAATGTTTATCCTGTATCTACGATTATTGTATTTCTTTTATTTGTGATTTACTGTTGGTCCTTAACGGTTTATTGACCAGAATTTATCATTAATAAATAAAAACTATGTTGTACTTCTTGGTATATTACTGGAAGTAACTGGTGATATTTCATCAAGGAATCCTTTCCTGAATAGGAATTTAATAACTGAGAACCAGGTCCTATCTATGGCAAAGCTACTAAGGCTGTCTGCCACAGTCCCTAATTTTGAACTACTAACCAGAAGAAAGGCAAACGATCAGCAGAACATTACTACCCATGCTAAGACAGTGACTGTCACTCTTATAATGCACCCCAAGTTTAAAGTAAGTGGTATATTTTGTGAAATAGCATAGGTTCGAACCCGGCTCTCGCTTGCTCCGAAATCCTCGCGCCTTATCAACGGTTACCAAGGTTTATAAAAGAACAACGTTCTATGTTAAGTAAAGAATCAGTAAATATATTATGATACGAATATCATAATACCAACACCTACCTGATTCTTGCCCAATGGTAATGTAAAGATGGAAAAGCGAAAATGAAAAAAAAAAAGAAGAAAAAATTAGCACTTAAATATGGTTTACGACGTTTCTTTCTGTATCATTAACAGAAACGAAATAGTTAACTACTTAATTTAACTACCGTAAGGAGTACATAATTATCTCAACATTCACAATCTCCCTTCAGTAATAAATATAGCTATTAAACCAGTTCCTAGACATATATACGTGAATGAGGGCGATGTTACCGTTTATAATTATGAAACTTAATTATATATGTGAGAAGGCAACGACAACAACAGTAATATATATATATATATATATATGTTTGTATGTACACGACCGTTCAGACGCATTTCTGGAGATATGAAAATAAACACACTTATAATCAAAATTATGGTTATAGTAGCCGGTAATACTAAGATGTAATCATAACTTAATTATTTACATTTAATATTAGATTTACTACAATCGTATCAACATTACAGATTAGATATATTTGAGAACGAGGGAGGTGGAGAGAGATCGTGGTTTGAGGCTATTTGGTACACACACAGATAAAGAAATATTTACACTATTAAGAAT